TATTCTTCATTTCTGACTTGTTCTTTTTTATGTTTTCTGTCTCCACTTTTATCTTTCCTATCTCTTTGTTAAAGTTCTCACTAAGTTCATCTACTCTTCTCCTATGTTCATTGAGCATCCTTAAAGCAGTGTTTCGAACTCTTTATCTGGTAGGTTGCTTGTCTCCATTTTGTTTAGTTCTTTTTGTTTTGTTCTGTTCTTTTATTTAGCATAAATTTGGTTTTTGTTTTTTGATCCAAACTGCTACTCTGCCTTTTTATTGGTGATTTCTGTCTGCCTGTTAGTCATCTTACTCATAGTTATGGATATTTTTACTTTTTTTTCAGGCAGAATAACCACCTTTAGTATTTCCTGTAATACAGGCCGTGTGGCGGAAAATTCCCTCAGCTTCTGTATGTCTGAAAAGGTCTTTATTTCCCTTTCATATCTGAAGAAGAACTTTGTTGGATATATTATTCTTGGCTGGCAATTTCTCTCTTTCAATAGTTTGAATATTTGGTTCCACTCACTCCTAGCTTGTAAAGATTGTGCTGAAAAGTCCAATGATAATCTAATGGATTTTCCTTTATAAGTTATCACCTTCTTTTCCCTATCTGCCTTGAGAACTTTCTTTGTTATTAATTTTTGACAATTTTAATATAATATGTCTGCAGAAGGCCTTTTTGGGTTGAAATAATTAGGTGTTCTGTTTGCTTCTTAATTTCAAGGATCCAGTTCTTTTCATAGGTTTGGGAAATTTTAGATTATTTGTTTGAATATGCCCTCTGTTTTCTTCTCCTTCTCTTCTCCTTTTGGTATACCCAGTATTCTTATGTTGCTTTTTCTGATGGTGTCAGATAGTTCTTGTAGAGTTCTTTCATTTTTTTCACTCTCAACTCTCTCTCTACTTCCCTCTGCATCATTTCCAGATTTCTGTCTTCAATATCACTAATTTTTTCTCCACCTGGCCAGCTCCATGTTCTAAGCTTCCTATTTCATTCTTCATCTCTTTTAATAAATTATTCATCTACAGAAGTTCTAGTTGGTTTTTTTTTCAGAGTTTCAATCTCCTTGGTAAAGTATTCTTGTTGTTTGTTGATTTTTGTTTCTAAGTTCTTTGAACTGTCAATCAGAATTTTCTTGCAACTAGCTGAGGTTTTTTTTCAGAAGTGCAATCTTGAATTCTCTGTCATTTAATCTTATTTTCTGGAAATTTTTCATTTCCCTTCTGAGCTGCCTTGTCATCTCGGTTGTTCATGGTGTTTGATGGACTATTTCTTAGCCTAGGCATTAATGGGTATTTACTCAGCTTTTTAAAGAAAATTTATTATATAGAGATCTCTCTTTAGCAGGTAGATAAGGTTTTTATTTTGATTTCCAGTAGGTGGCGTCCAAATCTCCCGCACTGCTCAAGACTCCTGGATCTCTGCTTTTAGGTTAAAATAACCTGGATTTTGTTTGTTTGTTTTGTTTTGTTTTGTTTTTTAGTGAGCTGTGTGTCTCTTCTGTGACCAGGTCATCTCAGTCCCAGGGCTCCACCCCCATGGGAGAATGTTAAGGGCAATAGGGGTCTGAGCCTCTGAAAAGGCCCTGAAGTCCCGGTACTGCCCCAGCAGTCAGATGCGATGATCCACTACTTCCTTTCAAATCAGCCTGACTGAATGAGGGTGGGGTGGATTGGGAGAGACCAGCTGTGTGTGTAGCTCTTTTCCTTCTGGTAATGCTGTCCCTCAAGTTTTAGCTGTCTTGCTTCTATATCTCCACCCCTATCACTGGGACGGGCTAAAGTGTATGTTTCAGTACTGGTTGAGCAGATTCCCCTGAGGCTCAGTGCTAGCTCTGGGAGGATAGGGGCGGGGTGTGAATATACTCTTGGATAGTGGAGTAAGGCGGTTTCTAAGACACAACTATCACCTTTCCCACTCAGTCTCTGCCCTGCTCTCTGCTCTGATCACTGGCCACGTGGAATATGCTAATCACTCAGGCAGGACTGTTCAGTGCTTCAAAGAGCCAAGAAACTGCCACATAATTCTTCCCTCCCCCTCTTCCTGCAGGGAGCTCTGGGCTTCATCCCACAGTGTCTTTTCTCCTCTCTCTTTCCACCTCCCTGACTTACACGATTGGCCTACCTTCAGATGCTCTGATGCGCAGACTCTCAGATGTGCTTGTGTGCAAGTTGGGTGTTATTTGTTGGACTGTAGCTGTTCAGCTTATTGTAATTCCATGGGGAGAGATCGGGGAAGATCCCTCATGCTGCCACACTCCTGGTGTTACTGTTATCCTCACTTTACAATTAAAAGTTTGCTAAATGCACAGATTTTAAAATATTACACTGCCAAGCCTGAGTTTGGGAGCAATTTGATTTCTGTGGTTCCCTCTGATAAGCTCAGCCTTCAGAAGGCACAAGGAGAAATTGACTCAGGTGGTAGAGAAAGCAGCCCCAGGAAAACACTTGGCCCTGGCAGCTATCCAGGCCACTCTTGGCACCCAAAGTGCCCAGTAACTGTGACGTGTCTATCTAGCACTACAGCAGTATGATGAATTGCGCCCAGCGAATTAGTCAAGCTTAGATATGGCAATATCACCTGTGCCATCCATCAGACATAATCTCCATCCAGAGGGCCTACTCAGGTCCAACCTGCCCACTGGCCACCAGCCACTCTATTGCCTGGCCTTGCTTTGGCCCAGAACGCACCTGGCACAGCAGCACACCACAGGGCAGGACACTGTCATTTCAGAGCACCCAATTTTTCCCTGCTCCCAGGGCCCCATTATTCCCACACTGGACATCAGGGAAGCTCTTGAGAGATCAGTTGAATCTGGCAGAAGTGGAAAGCTGCCTGTGGCCTTATGCATTCAGCTCTCACATGCTCCAGCACTGGGCGCTTTCCATCTGATGAGACCCAGCATGACCACTGGGACAAAGCCATGGGCTATATCCTAATAAAAGGGGGCCATCATCCTCACCAGGGGCAGAGCCACGGGGCCATCTGTGGTCTGACACCTGTCAAGTTGCCTGCTAGGCGAGGCTCTGGCTAACAGCTTTGTTAGAGAAAGCCACTTATGACAGGCTGGACATGGGCAGAGCTACACAGCACAGTGCGTGATCCAAAAGTGGAATTTGAAAGAGAGGAGGAGACCCACTTACAGACTCAGAGGAGTCACTGAAGGTAGAAACTGTGATTTGTTTTGGCAGAACTTTTCAACATACGAGCCCAACCCCTCAGCTTTCAACAACAGCTTCATTTGAGTATAATTCATGTAACATAAAACACATCTTCTTAAGGTGTTCAATTTTGTGATTTTTGGGATACTCACAAAGTTATGCAACCTTCAGCACAATCTAATTTTAAAACATTTTCATCCGCTGAGACTTTGATAAGGATTGCATTGAACCTGCAGCTCAATTTGGGGAATATATTGCCATCATAGCAATAGTTATTCTGTTTTCCAATTCATGAAAACATGAGAGGTCTCCATTTCTTGCGGTCTTCTTTAATTCCTTTTAATGATGTTTTTAGTTTTCATTATACAAATTGCACTTTGTTTGTAATATTTAGTCATAACTATTTTTTATGCTGTTGTACATGGAACTGGTTTCTTACTTGCATTTTCAGATTATTTATTGCTAGAGTATAGAAATACAACTGATTTCTATATATTGATCTTATATCCTGCATTATTGTAACCTGAACTCAGTTATTAGCTCTAACAGTTTTTTGGTGGATTACTTAGAATTTTATTTGTTTGTTTATTTGTTTAAAGTTTTTTTTTTTAGGTAAAATTTATAATACTGAGGATTTTCTATACACAAGACCATATCATCTGAGAAGAGAGTTTACCTCCTCTTTTCCAATTTAAATGTCTTTTATTTCTTTTCCTTTCCTAATTTCCCTGGCTAGAACCTTCAGCACAATGTTGAAGAGAAGTGGTGACAGCAGCCTTCCTTGTCTTTTTCCTCATTCTCAGGGGGGAAGCATTCAGTCTTTCATTATTAAATATGATGGGAATTAATGTGGGAATTTCACAGCAACTCTTTAACAGGTTGATGAAGTTCCCCTCTATTCCTGCTTCAATGAGTGTTTTTATCATGAAAGAGT